GGGGGGGGGGGGGGGGGGGGGGGGGGGGGGGGGGGGGGGGGGGGGGGGGGGGGGGGGGGGGGGGGGGGGGGGTCAACCCCCTAACTTAAGGAAAATAAGACATTATAACACGCTGACTTGGCCTCAGAATGCCGGTAATCCCATTTCCAAGGAGCTTAATTTTACAAATCTGCCGGGGCACGATGCGCCTGGATCCCCTTCAGGGGAGCCGCTTTGGCGGAGCGTACCTCGAATCCCCTTCTCTAAAGACTTGGATCCGCCCCAGGGAAGACCTACTTTACACTGGTGATCTGAACTTTGGAAACAGAAATTCCTGCTGAAGAGTTTTTACTGGCTTGCTGCCCACTCGAATTTCGTTGTTACGAATTAATCTCGTAAGAGCCTGTCCGATGGTTCGGCCCATTTAAAAAACATGGATATCAGTTCTTCTGGTGGAGAAACTGTGTCGATCACGGTGGCTTCTTTCAACCAGAGAATATCGTAGCGATCGCATTTAATGGAGTTTATGTCTATTTGTCTATCTGTCTGTCTGTCTGTCTGTCTGTATGTAGTGATCGTTGCGACAACGATCGCGAAGATAGACTTCAGCTCTATCTCGACTATCGTAAGGATCATTTAGACACCGGCGGTGGTAGGGATGGCTCAACATTTCTGTAGTGATTGCAGCGATCGTATGGAAACCAGCCTTTAGTATCCAGTGTTAAGTCACCCAATGTTACATGTTGTAAACATTAGTTTACCTTTTATTTGCAGCGAGAGAAGGAAGTAAACATTCATTGTCAAAGCCAAGTTCGCTCTCTGCAACAAGAAGTAGTGGTATGCAATTTACAGTAGTAAAATCAGAAACACCTTAACTTTACGTAAGACTCATTCTGTTTCAAGCAAGTCAAGAAACGGAGTAGGAGTTTGAGCATCAAATTTTATCCAAAGAGATTTTATTAAAAGCCTCACGATCGACTATCATAGAATTACCTCATAGAAACGCACTGGGTGCACGTATTTACCACCAAAACTGCTAGTGTAAATGTAAATCTTTTTTATAGTGGTCATGCACTTAGCTATACAAGCACTAAGCTTAGCTGGTTTACAGACATGCCACTGAAACAGGAAAAAAATATTTCAAATAAACGCAACATAGTTAAAAGTCCCAACTGGCAGGAGACAGACCAGTTGGCTATTTACAAAGCGTGACCGGGGATTTGAATTCGGGACTACCGAGAAACAAATCCCGCTATTGGCAGTGTGGAGGCCTTGAACTCGGGACCTCCGGATTACAACACCAGCGCTCTAAACCACTCGGCCACGCTGGCTCCTCCACACTCCTCCCCTGCTTATGTAAACGTCTAATATCTTACATTTTCAAGCCATGACTGAGAACGTTAAGTCTGTATGCCCCAAATGTATACAAAAAACAATAATTTTTGTTCACAGAGTTTATCGCCTCATTTTCTTTTCGAAGTCTTGCATAATTTTGTTTCAAACTCCTACAAAACTGAAAGTGTGTTGAATTCTTGCGTTTGACTGCTGTGTAGAAATCATTAGCTTGAGTCCTAGTGATCACAGTGGGGCTCTATTTGGTCACATGGTCTTCAGCTAGCACTTCTCTAAATTACATACTACAGAACGGAAAATTATACATGCCCAATTGTAACTGCCATGTAACCCTGACTTCAATGCAAACCCAACACGACCCGCAAAATCATGTCTTAATGGATATTTTGGGCGATACGGCGGCCATTTTGAGTTTTGTTGTTTCAGATAGCTATTATGGGATGCTTAGGGGGCAAATACATACTAAGTAACCCTCTACGCATCCCATAATAGCTAGCTATGGCTATTTGAAACAGTAGAACTCAAAATGGCCGCCGTATCACTGAAAAATTCCATTGTAATGACCGGATGTCCTGATCTAGTAAATCCAGAATAGTCGAGGAAGAGGAAAATTGTATATTACTGTATCGAAGGGAAAAAAAATAGCAGTTTGAGATAGCGAGGAGTTTGAAATATCCAATTCCAATTTAAAGAAAGAGTAAATTGATTACTGCATAACCGCATGCAAATAAAACCGGTTTCACTTTGGCAAAGCGAAGACTTTGGCAAGTTTGGCAAGTTTTTGAGTCGAGGTAAATGTATCCTAAGAAAGAGCGTTCTTAAGTCATTACATTAGTCATTGTCATCCTAGACTACAATTGGGACAAAGCAACGAAGTACGTGTAAACAAAGAACTCTGAATGTAAAATACTACATCCAAAAACGTTGACTTCCACATTGAAAGGAAAAAAGACTGCATAAGAAATTTGTTTCCAACAGTCTTCAGAAAGCCCATTTACAGCGCTGCATGTTTAAACTAAAAGAACTAAAGCCAACTTTGAACAATCAGTCTGAGTTCATCCGTGCAAAGTTATTGTTTACATTTCTAGATTCGTATTTAACAGTTTATTTGAAAGGACTTCATGCTTTGTTTGAAATTCTTTCCATTGGCAAGGATTTCTTTCTGTACTTCGTGAACATCCGTTATGGAACTACTTAAAACTTTAATTCGTTTGGTGTTTCTCCTTTTCAATTTACATTTGTAAGCCCCAGTGAGGCAAAAAAAATATGCACTGCACTTGTACCTACAAAAATGTTAAGTAAAAATACCCATAGCATCACGAAAAGGCAGAATTGTTACACCGAGTAGAAAAACAAGACAGTAGCACCAAATTTTCAACTTGAATTCTAAGTAATAGTCATAGGTGTAGTTATATGTATATAACTGATGCTACACTGGAGGCGTTGTCAATGAAGTATGCATTTTCTTTCTTTATTTTTCGTTCATTTATTGGACATTTTTTGGTATGCGCAGTAGGAGTGCTTATAATACTAATAAATCAGTCTGACAAAAATCTAACCGGTGAAGCTTACTGATGTAGTGAGAAATTGCTTGTTATAACTGTTTGCAAATAGTTTTCTGGTAGAAAAGACATCAGTGTTTACTTTGTATCTTCCTGCTCTACTAATATATGGGCCTGATATTTATTTTTTTTAAGGCAAAAGATTGTGAATTACGGAATCAGGTCGAGGTCATGCGTGTTGTTGTTGAGCAGTTGAGAGAATCACAGCAAGCCCGAGGAATGTTGGAGGCGAAATTGCAGGGGGTTGCAGAACAAATGGAGTCTCAAGAAAAACGTTATGACAAAAATTGTCAAGAATTGAAAAATCAGTTACGGGAGAATAAACGTCTGCTGGATAGAGTGACGAGCCTGGAGCAACAACTGGATTTGGAAAGGTCCCACCGAGAGCGGGATAGAGGAGAGTTTCAACAACAATTACAACTGTGTGGAGAAGAGTTTCAACGACAATTACAGCGGGATAGAGGAGAGTTTCAACAACTATTACAGCAGCAAAGCGCACGTCTCCAACATCTTGAGCAACATTTACAGCACGTAGAAAGGGTAGCAGAGGGGCGGCGCCATGCTCGTCTCCAGCAGCCTGAAACACGAACCTGGATCATTCAACGCAATGAAGTTGGCCTAAGCAACGATGTTTTGGGTGAGGGGTCCTGGGGAATTGTTCGAAAAGGAACATTTCGTGGTAGCCCAGTTGCTGTTAAAGTGCTTCACAGGGTGATTCTGTCATCTCATAATCGTAGTCTCTTTGAACGTGAAATGGAAATTTCATCCCGCTGTCGCCACTTCAATATTGTTCAATTCATGGGCGCAACATTGGATGATCAAAATCCTTTACTTGTGACAGAACTACTAGACTGTAATTTGACACAACTCCTGAAGCAAAGGCAATTGAACAGAGAAGAAATACCGGTAGTCTCTCTCGCTGTAGATGTGGCCCGAGGCTTAAACTATATGCATTGCAATCAACCTCCCATCGTGCATCGTGATGTTAAAAGTGACAATGTACTTCTTAAGAGGTGGGATAATTCGTGGATAGCCAAAGTGTCTGACTTAGGAGCAGCCAATTTTCGTCGTCTTGTTATGACTCCTAGTCAGGGAACACCATTATACGCTGCTCCAGAAGCAGGCACTAGAGAATACTCAGAGCTGGTAAGTGCTTTCGTTTACAGATTTTATGCTCTTTTTGGGTAAGGAGGTATAGCTATCCTGAGATTTAAATTATAAAATAACTGAGCTACTACGTACGCTCTCATTGGTCGATAGGTGTGTTTAAATGAGAGTATGTAAACACGGTTGTGACGTTTTAGATTCGCGCGTATTTTTGAGAATTATTTTATAACAGCAATAGAGCACTTTTTCCGTGTTTACATAGCCTCCTCTAAACACTCGGAGGGTTGGGAGAATTCTCGAAAGTTATGCAAACTCTCGACTACGTCTCGGGTTTGCATAACTGTCTCGAGTTTCCCAACCCTCCTCGTGTTTAGGTGAGGCTATGTAAACACGGGAAAGTGCTCTATTGCTTAAGCATTGGACAGCAGTTCCTGAGGTCCATGCATGGTTTAAGGTCAGGTTGTTGAGTTGCAATTGATGCATTCTTGGGAGAGACTTTTTTACCCCCGTAGTGACTCACTCGACACATGTAGCAATTACAAATTGGGACATCCTAACAATCTGCGAAGGACGAATATCCCATCATGGAGGAGTTCCAAAGTCCTGTTAGCCACAACTACAAAAACTGGAGTTCAGTGACAGCCACTCTACTTGAAAACAATGGTACTTCCTTACTCTGGGGGCGGGAGAAGGGATTGAAATTGTTGGTGTAACTGTAAGATTAACACAGTCGAACCTCTCCACAACGGCCACCTTGGGGACAGAGGAAGTGGCCGCTGTAGAGAGGTGGCCGTTATGGGGAGGTAGGGGTGTAATATGACACCGGTTTTTTTCTTGGGGCTCAACATTTCTATGTTTAAAAAAAATGCCGCTTAATGTAGCTTGTAAATACGTAACACAATTAAAATATATCAATAAAACAGAAACTAAACAGAAACAGAGACCAGCGACGCACCGTATAGATCAAGTTTTGTAACCTTTTCCAATAAAAGAAATGGGTTTTTTTTATACACTGTTCGTCAGTCGTTGGGACGCGTTTTAATGGCCGTTGTAGAGAGGTTAAAGTAAGAGTGAATGTATGGACCGTTCGCTGTGACTAAACAAAGTGGCCGACTTGTTGCGAGTTGCGCGGCTAGTGGAGGTTCGATTGTATTAACTTCTGGCCTGGTATTAAATATATATTTAATTGTCTTTTAGTCTGAAATGTAATCTTTTCCAAAAACTATATATTTATGCCGGCTATCGACATTTCAGTTGAAGTTTCAGATGATAAAGTTAGACCATCTAAACCAAAATCTCTCTTAAATTTAATAAAACCTCTCGAAATCATTATCTTTTTCATTGTTTGCTTTTACATCTTACTGGATCAAGGAATTTTTCTGCCCACTGAAATTCTAGTGAACTTCTTTCAGTTTCATCTACATCTTAAGTCTTTAGGGGGGCAGAAATCCCTGACCAAATTGAAACAGTAGTACGTCGTGTTTCGTTTCGAAATTTTCTTAGTCATATATTTAATAAGTAGCCATATGAAAGCTCGAGCAATTTGAATTTACACCTCTCGTAATATTTGAAAATTCTATCAAATAGCATTTACCTTAAGGCTCGTGAAAATATGAGGGAATTTTCAAATATCAGTGTCAATACTCGACTGCACTCAGATTCATACGATTACCCTTACTTAGTGTTCCAGATTTTTCTAGGGGTGGTGGAAAAAAACGTATTTTGCCTTCACTACACAACCAAACACACTCAAATGTCAGGGGGTTGAGGCATGGGCGCGTTGGTCTGCTAGGCCCAAGATATGTTTCAGTTGTGACAATAAACTTAAAACAAAGTGGATGAAATCAAATAACATCCTACATGCGGCAAAGCCGGACACGTAAACCCCAAAAACCTCTTATTAGGAAAAATAGGGACCGTGCACCCCGGCAGACCAAATGCAGTGGCACCACCTTTGGGGTTTTAAGGTTGATATATAAACAACAGAATGAAAGATAGAACAGATAACGTTATTTTTTTACAATAAAAATAAACCTTATGCAAAAGGCTGACCGTAGAATGCCATAAGTTCCTCGACCTTCTCTTTTTACAAACGTACTAATTATGGGCCTTTGCATACTACGCTAGCACCCAGTTCTCTGTTCCGTGTCGGCAAAATGTTAATTCATGTCAATACCGATTATCACAAATTACATTCTAAACTCACCCTGACCTTGAGGAAACTCGCCATATAATAAAATATGAACTGTATGGAAACATTCAACTGTCCTGCTTCATAATTTTTTTCCAGGTGGACGTGTACAGCTTTGGCTTACTGGTTTTGGAAATGTGTATCCGAAAGTATCCAGTACGTGGCCAGATAGCTGACCAGATAAAACACGTACCTTGTCCGAGACTTCAAGGGCTCATAGGTCGTTGTGTGGAGCAAGACCCTGAAAGACGCCCAAGAATGGGTGAGGTGATCCAGGTCTTAACACAACTGATGAGGTAAAAATGTTACTTTTCACTTCTATTCGCATTGTAGGTCATTCAATTGATTGTCAAGGGAATAAGGGGTGCATTTAGGACCAATGTCTCCAATGGGGACACAACAAAAGAAATAGAAAAGTACAATTTACACTCATCTTTGTAAGATAGTTAATTAGATTGATATCAAACGGTAACTACTTAGAAGCGGTCAATTAGTATGATGAAGATTATAAAGGTGCAGAAAAAAAACTGTTTCCTGTGGGGCCAGTCAGTAAGTGTTTTGTTGTACTTCCTAACTCAAAAATAGAATAACTGTGAAAAATGATTTTCGTGACGCCGGCTGGCACACAAGTTTGCTGCGGTTTCAAGGTGCACGACGTGATCACGTGCGAGTCGAAAGTTCAAGTTATTGTTTCTGTAGGGAGTTTGTGAGTTTTGATCCATTGCACGTGACACGTTCTCGTCCAATTGAAAAACGTATTTGAGTTGGATTATAAAAAGGAAAGATAAATTACTTGTATATATCGACGTGATTTGAAACAGTGGAACAGCTGCTTGACACTTCAAAACAGTAGTTGAAAGTGAATCAGGTGATATCATATGGGTTTAAAAACAAGAGAAAGGTGCAATTTCAGATATTTGTAGGTCACTTTCTTGGTATAAGATATTCTTGATAAATTCTGAATTTCTGCTAAATCAGTATATTTAGGGTAAATGTTTCTGGGTTTAACGCGGCTGGTAGTATTTTTGGTAGGTAGACTATTTGAAGATGTGTAGATTTACAGCTGTACAAAATTTTTAAATATGTATCAAAATGGGAATTTGCCCTTTTAGATAATACATGTGAAAATTGTGGGTTTGTTGTGAAAAGTCTTACAAAATTTGCAAAATATGTAAAATTACTCTAATTGTGTGCTTCATTTTGATTCTTGGGGTGTTCGAAATTTTTAAAGATAGAGGTTAGCTTGTAAAATTCATGGCTTTTTTGCAGGTTATGCTTGTTGCATTTTTTGATCTTGCAAGAATGTATGTCTTCATAAAACATTTTAATAATGAATTAACTTTTAATCAATATATAGTAGATACATAGTTCATTTTCGCCACTTTCATACTCGGTTTGAAGAGCCAGTGAGAGAACAAATGAGTAATTGTTTGGTCACTGGATGCTAAACTATACTTCCTTGTAATTACTAAATTACCATTGTATTTACAATCTGGTTTCATGTAAAGCCATTGTTTAAATTGTAGCTTTTCTCAATTTAGGAATTTGTTGTAGAGTAGCGACATAGTTAGTGAATTATAAGCAATATTGCCATCAGACTGGCGTAGTTTCCATATGACCGCTGGCGATTATTCGGAGCATGGCTTCAGTACTTAAGTCTCGTAAAGTCGTCGCGGAATGTGTCATATCGTCGTGCAACATGGTGCGTGAAGAATAGCCCTACTTGTATTTCCATGTTTTGGTGACTTAGCCAGACAGATGGAAACCAGCTATCAATTTTATTTTCATGTTAGATATTCCTGTAGCCAGAGAGTTAAATTGTTGAGAGAGCGTTGTAGAATTATACATGCGTCAGGTAAAATTATTTTAATAAAACTTAAAAGTTATATTAAAAATAAGAAGTTGAGAGACCACTGAGGTAGCTTTTTTTTAAAGTCAGTTTTAAAATAGTCCATTCGCTTTTTGGCTGAGTAAGACTGGGGTTATCGTAACACAGTCAAGACTGATTCACTGATTCTATCGTTTATTGAATTTAATTCATTATAAATGATAAATTACATGAAATAGGTATTGGTGAATACTCAGCTGTAAATATTGTGATTTTGTTTTGTAAAAGCCTACTCCAATCAGAAATTTTTAATAAGGTTATATTTTTTGTTTTGTAACTGCACTTGTCCTAGCTAGACAATAAAGATGGCTGTTATTTTGTATGTTTTGTTGAAAACATTAAACTACATGTCTATCTTTCCTAGCTTTTTGCAGTTTTATTGAGTTATTTGTTTGTGAATGAACTTGTATTGGTGTGAGGGGATCTGTAAACTAGTTACACGACAGTATAACCTTGTGGTGCTGTCTTAGGGTTAGGGTTATAACTACGAGCGGTATTTAAAAAGTCTCTCAAAGTTACGCGAGCGTTTAGACGAGTGTAATTTGAAAGAATTTTTGAATATCAAGAACCATCTGAACCTTTTGTTGGAAGTTTTCGATTTAATTTAAACTTTTTGACGACATCAGCTATGGTTGACTTGAAATATCGAATTACTCAATGATGCGATTGCTCATTTAATCAAAACTATGACAAAATTCTCGAACGTGATTGGCTAATTGGACGGTACGCGTCATTTTGCGCGCGCTGTTGCAGTGCACTTTGTTGAGTAATAAACTGCTGTGTTTTTCAGCATTCATAACGACGTTTAATCGTTCAGTGCTCGATCGATGGTTTCTTCGTTTCTCGAATTTTGTCATAGTTTTGATTAATTGGTAACAGGGCTTCGTGTCGTCCAATTCAGTCTGTAATCATAGTCGTGATTAACAAATCAGACTCCCGCCTCGCGGTCGTCCGATTTTGTCAATCACTCGTATGATTACAGACCGAATTGGACTCCACTCAGTCCTGTTACCATTATAAATCCTGTCTATAACAAGATTCTCGATTGTCGTTGATCCTGTGCGCGCCTATTTGTCACCTGTGCCATTTATGCCATTCGCGCATGAATTACGTGCTTGAATGGCAATTCCTTAGGGTTTCCCTAGTGTTTGTAAAACGTATGGAAAACGCTACTTTCTTTTCAGTCCAGTTAAAAACTTCTTAAACTCGAAATTTGTTATTTATACGATTAATAAGTAATCAGACCAAGTACAGTACAATTCAGAGAGTAATCGTTATCGCCCTCGCGCTGCGCGCTCGTCCGATTTTGAAATTACTCGCTCGATTACTCACTTAATAATATACATGAAAAAATTACTCGATTCTGACTGGCTGAGAGCAGTGCAGTTCAAGTGTAACAAAGTGCAAAAAGTGTAACATTAGTGCAAATTACCCATCGTAATTCTGGATTATGATTGGCTGAAAGACAATAGGAAATTTTCCAAGCCAGTGATATTACGTAAAATGATGACTAAAATTTTGTGTGGAAACTTTGAAAAAAGATTTCTCGAATGCGAAAAAATGGCTTCAAGAAAGGTCTTCCGGCACTTGCTCCGCGCAAATTTTTTTCATGTTTATATTATTAAGTAATCATACGGTTTCGAGTTCAATTTGGAATTAATTTGCACATGTGAGTTTTTCAAAAAGCTGAAATTGCACTCGCCGAAGCGGCTCATGCAATTTCAACTTTTTGAAAAACTCACTCGTGCAAATTAACTCCAAATTGAACTCGAAACCGTATGATTACCTATACAAACTGTAATCCAATCGGTCCAATTACAATTACATATGACTGAGAAAACAGGAAAGCAGGCGCGTTAATTTGCACTGCAGTGCAAATTGAAAATTATAATAAATTTGCCTGTTCTCAACGAACTCCCAATGAAGTAATGTTTGACAGTCATAATAAATTTACTCATTTCAAGTATTTCATTTCACTCTCTTGTGCTTCATGCAAATGAGCATCCTTGGATACTTTGCGATTCTCTTATCTTGCATCTGGAAAAATCTGACGTGCTATTGGAGATAAAGAATAATTACACCGAATAAATATTCTCCAAAAGTACCTACGAGTCCTTACAATGATACTACAATGAAGTACAATCAGGGAAACGATAGCCTTTTCAATAATAGGCGATTTGCATGGTGGCGTCATTTGACTACAACTACCAGAATCCTTCACGTTTATGTTTCTTATGTTAATTAGGCCAATTGTTATTTAAACCCCACTGGGAATTCAAAATTTAAATAACAAGGAAAAAACCAAAGGAATTCTGGTAGTTGTAGCCAAATGACGAAAACGTGCAAATCTGCTATTGTTCAAACATTCAAATCACCGAACTTGTGACAAGTAGTGAAGCATTCTGATCTCGGGACTAAAATAAAAATAACCCCCATATAGTCATGGCTTGGACAATCCTTAGGAAAAGAAGGAAGCAAGAAAACAATTTAAGACATAAACGTGCATTTCTGGGGGAAGAGGTAGCAATATAGAATGATAATGGATATGAATTGCATTGCGTGATCACCAGCAACAACCCAGACTTGAATAGTCCAAAGAAACATCATGTACGGCATGGATAGTTAAAGGTGTAAAATGGAACGTCCTAAGCATTACTAAGACATGATTTTCAGCCTCAAAAGGGTGGCATGAGCAGTCTCCTTTTCCCCCTTCATCCTCTGGCATAAAAAGCCTTGGCATTACCAAATGACTTAAATTGCACGTTATTTGGGATAAGACCATGTGTCTATTATAGCACTTACCGGAAGTCCTAACCCGACTGCTTACGTCCCCAATATGCAGAGTGTCTTCATGACTGGCTTGAGGAACGCCACAAACTCTCCCTACCCTCCTCAGGACGGAGCTATACGCTCTCCTGTATGGACGAGAGAGACCACAGTATACACAGGGATTGAGTGTTTAGTATGGACATCTGTGCTGACAGTGACTGAAGAATCTCACGATGCTGTTTTGTTACTAACTCCAGTGTAATACTGACTGTTAGTATAACATAACACCGTCTTGTTAATACTTACTTTGTACATCTGAACTCGATATCAGTAAAAATCAGATATATCTTGATCGCTTTCAATATTTAGTAAAGCGTAACAAAAAAAAAAAAAAAAAATGATAAATGGAAACACCAACCTTGAAAAGAGTCTTCCCCAATCTGGAGTGCTCTTATGCTAGAGGTTTTCTATTTTCTTTTTTTTTTTTTTTTTTTTTGTCTCTTTAGCATTTGCACTACTTTATATAAACACCTACATTGCTATCTTAAGACAAACTGGTCTGAACGACACTTACAATGATTGGCAACCAGCTTACATAGAAAAGGAACACCGCTGACCGAAGAATCTTAATAAACTGACTCCTTTCCTTTACATCCCTGCTGACTCTCGGTCAGTGATGGTTTCTGGGATGTGTTGTTTGTCTAGTAAAACTGTTGTTATTAGACTGGTTATTGCCTTGCTTTTCCTCTACCAATGTACTTGTACCTCTTGCACTGCATGTTTATGTCATTGCTACCGTTTTCACCTCTCATTCGCATTTCCTGCGTTGGTTTGATTTCGATAGCCTGAAGTTTGCCATTCTCTAACGTCAGCGTTCTGCCTCGTCGCAGCTGACCAAATCTTTTTTCACATTCGTTTATTTTCCGCGACACAGCGATAAAACTGGTCAGCACCACCACAAGCTGAATATATCCTAATATGGCAATAAGAAGAGCAAAGCTTCCCCCGAAATCAAAGGAACAAATGATGATGATTCCCGCCGAGAAAATGACGTAAACGATAACTTAAGCTACACTAACACAAGTGACTTTCGTCCGATAATAAATTGGATGCAGCGTAGCACAAACGCAATCAAGAGCCATTAGAGTAGCTACAAAGAAAGATGACAAGCGTAGAAATGAGGACATCCAATTGTAAAAGTGAGAGAAGGCGTAAATGATGTTGAGACTTTTAAAGCCATTCTGATCGATTTGAAAGACGATTATGGACATTAACACAGGTCATATATCCTTGAGAAGATCTATACAGGCCAACGAACCAACGGGTAGATCAGGAACACGCAGGACTCGAAACAACTTGATTGCAACGAGAAAAAGCACATTTCCAATCAAAATGATCGCGAAGATGATTGGTGAAATAAACAAGAACCCAGTGCTGTATCGACTGCCGATATCGTTTGTATTTCTCGAGATATTTGTTTCACTCATACTGGCTTTTTTCGGACCTCATTCATTGATACCGTTGAATTAGAAATTTTGTAGCCCTCAGTCATAAAAGAATGCGTATCCTACACAGACATTTACTGTTAGAAACTGAAAAAAAAAATTAAATGTTTGTTGTTTCCATGAAGACAAAAGCACAAGCGTTTAACTTCGGTAAAAATAACAAATAGCCAAGCTGAATATTTAATGATCACCTTTCAGTTTTTCTCTCGGCAGAGTTTTGACATTCTCAATTGCGGTCATTCTTGGATATAATATACGAAGAAAGCCTTAATGAAACCTAAATGTCCAAGTAACACCGAGAATGGTTTGTTTAAACTAAAATGTGGTCGTAAATGCAGTAACATTAAAGTAAGTCTTAGAGACATACCTTAAAGTTTTCTCAGAACTGACCATGTTTCGCTTTAGCGCTAGGAAATAAGCCGGGCTGTCTTTATTATACAGAAACGTTGCCCAGTTTCTATGGCGGGCTTAATGTATCTTTGAACATCTGTAACAAGTCGAGTAAATCGCCTTACTTCTGTTTAAGTTGTTTAAAGGCTCAAAAAATGTTCTTGAAAATGCAAGAACCCTCACAAAATATAACTGGTGTGTTGATGCTAGAGAAGGTTATTAAATTATTTTTAGAAAAGCTCTATTTGCTGAATAGAGTCGATGTTTCCCAAGGAGAATGAAAGCAGTAAATGTAAACAAAAGTTCTTTTATGTAATAGGCCTTCTTCCATATTTTGATATTCTACAATATAAATTACAGTTTTGTTCTATTCAACATTTAGTATCCCTTATTAAAAAAGATCTCTTTCCTCAACATCTGAAATATATCCGAGGTCAGATTCTAATAAAGATTTTTAACTAAAAATCAGCTTATAATTGTCTTGACTATGATGTAAAAATATCAAAAAATTTGAACGTCCTTTGTTTTTAATAAGTTATCACACCAAAACAGAGATAATGGAACTAGCAAAGACAAACATGTTTCAAAATAGCTTAATGAATCCAGACTATCCGGGTTTCAATAAAGTTGAGACTGACAAACTGGGCACTCAAGAAGATGGTCACATCATCTAAATGGGAAACATTGCATGCATGGTAA